AATTGGGACATAGATTGGCCATAATTAGGCTTTGATGGTTATGAGATATTGGACCATCAAAATGTCAAGTGTTGGACCAAGAATAAATGTTTGGGCCTTAAGGCAAGAGCATGTAGAGGTTTGGGGTGAATTTGCAAAATTGGGCCATAGTTGGGCCTTGGTTTATTATTAGACTTTTGGGTCATTGGATTGGGCCCTGAGTACAACTCCTACTTATAGGAGAATCAGAAAGTATACAAAAAAAATACTAAGGACTAAACATCAAACTTCAAAACATAAAATGCCTTAGTAAATAGATAAACAAATTTCGAAACTGCTAATACAAACTTCGACACATTACAATATATTCGACACTAACATTCTCCCCATTTGTAATAAGTGTCGAAGTCAATTTATCAAAACTTGAGCAGCTTTATGTAACTTTTTTCGAACTTCAGCATACCAATTCATAATCTGTCGCATCTCAGCTTTATCTCCTTCTATGTTCTTCTTACAGTTATTCATACGAACAATTAAGTTCGTATATTGGGTTGTTGTGTATCTTTCGACATCATTTGCTTGGAACAAAAACTTCGACTGTTTTCCATTCTTACCTTTCCTAACAAAAACTATCCCATAAGGTTTTAAGCATATATCACAATCGTCATATGCTATTAGGTCAGATTTTCTTTTCACCATTGATTGAGGAACTGTAACTTCTTTTCCCAATGACATAGCTAATTCTATATCAGTCAATGCTAGACAATCGTAATAATTTTCTATGAAAAGCTTAAGATGTCCTAACCCCAACCTCAACACATCTTTGTTGGTTCCCTGAAGCTCTATAGCATCTGGCCCTTTGAGAATGTATGCAAGTTGAATAAGATCATTCAAGTTCATTAACGGAAAGTCAGCAATAGATAAATTACATGGAACCTTGTTAGCCCTTACAACATGATATCTTAAATTTTGAAGCATATTTTCAAAAAGTTCATCCTTTGTCACGCTTATTACTTGGACAATCTTCACAAGTGACCAGACTTCGTCTTGCTCTTTCCCCAAAACCACATGAAATGTCAGCTACATGTGTGTAAAATCATCCAGATTCTTGAAGCAATCAATAATTTTGTATTGAGTAGTAATGAATATCATCTCATTCATTGGAAATCTAGTTGATTCTTTTCATAATTTTTGATAGAATAACTTTTTTTGGGCTTCTTCTCGAAATCATGCATTTCATTTGATTTTTCAACAATAACCTTTTTCCCTCTGTCTTGAATTGTTGGAATTTCTTTAGGTTTCGAAGCACTCCCTTCTCCACTTGTTCCAATCACAATGCCTTTGAAAATTGGCCTTGCAGTAGTAACTTTTGAAACTACAGGATCAGGCTTCGACAGTACTGGCTTCAATAAAGGAATATTTGTTGTAAAGGCTTTACCAACAACCTTTGTAACACCCCGAGTTCAGAAGTGCAAGTTCAGGGTTCTTAGCGTAAATAAGGAAGGTCGACTCGGCGAGTCGAGTCACGGTTCTGGTTACATGTTAAGTGACCAACTCGGCGAGTTGGCGGCTGGACTCGGCGAGTTGGTGCTGAAGGGAGAAAACTCTAATCTGGGGGTTGTGCCCTATATAAAGCACATTATAACCCACCTTCAGCCTCTTTGCTACCCATTTGAGATCCAAAAACCCTCATCTCGTGTGTGTGACTCCATTGATGAAGAATTAGAGCTTGGAAAAGAAATTTGGTGTAAGAAGCTTGGGGATTTGGAGGCCATCATCAAGGGGCTTGGGTAGATCTGGAATCTACTTCTATTTGGGCACATTTCAGGGGTAAGGAACCTCCTCCTTAAGCTATTTCATTATTTATTCATGAATGGTGGTTGATTTGGGATTCATTAGCTTGTTTGGGAGCTATCTCGAGTTTGAGGCTTAGATCTGAAGTTGCTACTTCAGATCTAGACTTGTGATGGCCCAAAAGGTCAAAAAGTTCTTGTCTAAGAGTTATTGGTGAAGCCCTTTGTCTTTAATCCTAGCCCAAGAAGAGTTTTGGGCTTATATCTCCTTGCTTTCACGTAATGTTTGCAACTTTATGTGAGGGTTAGGTTGTAGAAGAATGGATCTATGGATTGGAGTCTCTGTATGGCTTGAAAAGCCTCTATATGGAATGAGAACTGAAGACACTCGGCGAGTCACATGGGTGTGCTCGACGAGTTGTATGATTATGTGCATGGACTCGGCGAGTTGGAAGAACAACTCGATGAGTCTGCTGAAGATTTCCTTGGACTCGGCGAGTCTAGTCGTGAAGTCCTAACCTTTTCTGGTTGAGCTGTGAATCGGTGAGTCGGGGGATGACTCGGTGAGTTGAGCGGGAAGGGACTCAGAGCTTGTTGGACTCGACGAGTCTTGGGGAGACTCGGCGAGGTGAGTCGTGGCAAGGGAGTTTCTGAGCATAGGAACTCGACGAGTCAACTGGTTGACTCGGCGAGTAGGGTCAACCAGGAAGGTTGACTTTGACTAAGGACTTTGACTTGGACCAAGGGTTGACCAGTTTGACTTCCAAGGGTATTTTGGTAACTATTGGTGTTTATTGGTTTTGGTTATTTGGTAATGATCAGTGGTGGAGTTCGTGCTGGTGGTTGGAGCAGCGTGGTCTTATTTCTTCAAGTCAGTAGTTGCAGGTGAGTTATCCTCACTATATCGACAGGGTCTAAGGCACCAAGGTCGGCCCTTTATCGAATAGGAATTCGGGTAGTTGTTTGTTATGTTATTGTTTTACTATGTCTGCATCATGGTAGTTAGGATGGTATATGTTAGAGACCTGTTTAAGGTCGGTATCCTGGTATATAGGATGATGTTATGTTAGTGACCGGTTAGGTCGGTATTCTAGTTAGGATGTTGCTATGTTATGTAATCTGCTAGATCGGTTGATTAGTTGTGAATTGCTATATGATTATATGTGCACATGGTTTTTGGATTGGGGTTGGGTTGAGGCGGGTCCTGCTTTGTGTTGTAGGCCAGCATACCTAGGGCGGACCGGTTAGATCGAAGGCTCGGCGAGCGGTCCGGATGGGCTGAAGGCCCCAAGAGGGCGGACCAGATGTGCCGAGGCTCGAAGAGTGGACCAGATAGACTGAACGCCCGGTGCGGGCGGACCAATCATACTATAGACTCAGAGAGTGGACCAGGTGGACTAAAGGCCCAGTGTGGGCGGACCAGTCATACTGTAGACTAGGAGAGAGAGTGGACCAGGTGGACTGAAGGCCTGGTGCAGGCGGACCAGTCACACTATAGACTCGATATGCATGGATGTTCTGTTTATGATATGATATGATATGTGTATGGTATTGTGGTTGGTATTTTGGGGGTAACTCACTAAGCTTTCGGGCTTACAGTTTCAGTGTATTGTTTCAGGTACTTCAGGAGACCGTGGCAAGGCGAAGGCGTGATCGTACCGCTCCTTAGTTTTATGTTAATGTTCTGGGATACTCTGTTAATAAAAGAATTGAAAACCTTTTTGTAATAACTTAATGAATATGGGTTGTTTTTGAAAAGTTTAAATTGGTTGTAAATTTTCACGGTGTTACAAGTTGGTATCAGAGCCTTGGTTTGAGTGAATTGGAAGAACATTCGTGTGAATCTATTCTCAAATCAAGGAGAGTTTTCAAAGTGAAATTGAAATGGTTTTCAAAAATAAGTAGAGGAGGATGCGGAGGTACGATCAGCCAGAGCCAGTAAGTAGACCCCAAAATACCATACAAGTTATTTGATTATGTGATATGTTAGAACATCATGCTAGTACTAGGCTAGGGATCTTCAGGAATTGCATGATAGAATTTCCTGATTATATGATGCCTACTAGCCTAGGGTTCCCTGTTATGTGAGGTAGTTAGCAGTTCCTCTAGATGTGAGGATTGAGTGTTACCATGTATATTTTTATCGCTAGGGTGTTGTGGTGATACTTGATATAAATATGGGTAGGTGTGGAAGGTAGTATGGGCCCGTACTACTGAAAGCACAGGACCTATATACGTATCAAGGAAGTCAAAACCCCTTGGGTTGGGATGGGAGTTGGTTCCCGGGTTACTGGGGAAGCATCTGATTTTCTTGCAGTGTATTTTCAGTATGGTGGTTACGAGGCATGCCAGGGGTGGATCCGGGTCAGGATCGGGATCAGGAGAGAGCGATCAGGGTAGATCAGCACCACCCGAGGTCATTGGTCAGATGAGTACGAATGAGTTGGATGTTAGGATTCATGAGATCCTGCATGATGAGATTGCTGCTATGTTCAGGGCAAAGATGTCGGAGATGTTTGGGTCAATCAAGACCGCCATGGTTGAGTACTTTGATGAGCGCTATGCGGATCTTGTAGAGATGGCTGCCGCGGCAGCTGCAGCGACTGTAGCAGTGACAGGTGGAGGAGCTGGTTGGGATTTTCAGTATCGGGACCTCAATAATACGAAGCCCCCTACTTTTAATGGGGTTTAGGATCCGATCATTGCTATGAGGTGGTTTTCGGACGTGGAGGGGTGTTTCTTCACGTGTTCATGCCCCGCGGATCAGAGAGTGAGGTGTGCTCTGAACCTATTAAGGCTCGGGGCGAAGGATTGGTGGAGGTTGACAACGAGATCTTATTCGGATGCACAGTGGTCTGCGGTTACATGGGATCAGTTCCGAGAAATGTTTAATACTCGTTATGTTCCACGGGTTGAGAGGGAGAGGTTGGCTTAGGAGTTCTTGGAACTGAAGCCGGATTCGGAGTCGGTGACGGAGATTACCAGGATGTTCACTGAGAGGGCGATGTTTTGCCCTGAGTTTGCTTCGGAGCAGGCTCAGATGTCCAGATATCTGAGTATGCTCAAGAGGGATATCAGGTCGTTTGTGTCTACGAAGAGGTACGAGACCTTACTGGAGTTGCAGGAGGCCGCTCGGCGGCGTGAGTTGGAGATTGAGTCGCAGCCGGCACCGAATAATCACCATACATGCATCATCATCTTCATCAGCCCATTTTTCCCAATAAACTTTCACATAACGTGGGTCTTGCCATCTCCAAACAGAATTTTGTTCCACCATTTCGCTTCTGCTTTCTCCAAAATGCAAAACACACTTCTCTCCCCTATACTGATTTTGCTCTCCTACATATCCACAACATAACAAGATCAAGATTAATTTACTAAAGATTAAAAACAAAAGTCAAAATGAGATTAGATACAAAGATGGTTGTTTACCTCTACATTAACTTTGTCAAAAATCTCAAGCTTAAGATCATACTCATGCTGGCCAGCTGAAGCATAGAATGTAAAAACACCTTCTGGAGCAAGATTCACTTTTGCATCTTTTGAATCCGCCAATAAAATTGTGATATAAACTTTATCCTCTTTCTGAGCCCACTTAACTTCTGGATGACGACTACAAAGCTCAATATATTTTGAATTTATTAGGATACACCTATCATTGAACCAAGCACAAGCAAGCATAAATATGTAAAACTAATAAATCAATTGTTTTCTAATTCTCACCATTGAAACACAGAGAACCCAATTCTTGTGCCCTGAATAGATATGTAAAAATATAACAACTTGTTTGGATTTAGTGATTATGAAGTTATGATAACAACCATCATATTCACTACATGGAACTTGTCTTCCGTGAAACTATATCCACTTCCGACTATGAACTGAAAGAGCAGAATTTGTAACTGCAAATTGAGTAGAAAGAATAACATATAGTTTATGAATCAAAATTGTGTTTACAAACGATAGAAGCAGTATAAGAAGAAGAAATCAGAATCAAATTGTACCTAAGTGTTAAGCAGTGAGCCACTGACCGGAGAAACTGCCTGAAGGGGCTACCAACGCCATAAGATAATAGAATCGACAGATGATGTGATTCTCTCATCTGTATGAACTCAAAAAAAACAAACATTACCTCTGTTTTACATTTTCGAAACCCAACATTGTGGATTCGTCATTGGAGCAATCGAAAAGCACATACACATCTTTTCTGAAAAAATCCTGAGTTGTTGGTGTCTTAGTCGATAACTTGTACCAAAAAAAACCCTAAACGCTATGAGAGAGGAGTGACGCCTGAATCGCTTTCATTAAGATGGGATATCTTGAAGCGGAGATGTATAGCAGTCCGATAGGGCGGGGATACTTTACTCATGCGGCACAACCGGACGAATCAAGGGTGTCGAGCTAACCCACAGGAAATCGATTGAAGTTCCTAACTTGAACCTTGTAGTTGCCGTAAAAAAAACACACAAAAGTATTGGGCTAACAATATACGTATAATTGATGGTCGCCATTTTGTGATCTTCAGGAATAAACGCGAGTTTTTAAGAAAAAGAATTGTAGAATGGTTATATGAGTTGTCGAGGTGTATAGCAGAGATGGTATCGTGATTAGGGTTTACAGAGAGAAAGGGAGAAGAGAACGAAGGGAGATCTTGAAGCGGGGTATTTAAAAATTTTAGAATTTTAAGAGAATTTCATTTCCCCTTTTAAGAAACGTGCGTTTTGAGCAAGGTTGTAAAAATCGCTCAGCGGTCGACTAGCTATAAGCGATTAATCGAGGATTAATCGAGGACTCTAAATTATTAATAAAATTATTTAAAATTTTAATGTTTACTAAAAAATTATGTACTTGGATTTTTTAGATTTTAAAATTTTAAAATTTTAGTATAATATTTTAAAGTTTGAAAGCTTAAATTTTTAAAATTTTAAAATTTTGGTGTAATATTTGAAATTTTTTTTTTTTTTTTGAATTTTTTAAATATTTCCTGCTTATGACCGCTGAGGACCGCCAATGACCGCCAAGCATGAGTTTGACCGATTTTGACCAATTTCTGCCAAATACCCTAATCGTAATCGGTTCGAGGCCGTCAAACGATTAATCGGCCGCCAAGACCGATTTCTGCAACTCTGGTTTTGAGTAAAAATCATAAAGCGACATTGAGAGAGGACACACATTTTAGATAAAGTGCCCTACGTGTTTTTAATTTTTTTTATATGAGACACTAATTTAAGGGCACGCAATAATGCATGACCTAAATCCTTAAAGAAATTTAAGAGATGATATTTTTTTTAATGTCACTCTCTTTTACGTAACATAAATCAATGATTGTCGTGGTTTGCACGCCGTAAAAGGGACTTTTTCTTGTAGTGCAGATAGTAAGAAAATAGATTATATTGGCTATGATTGAGAAACGATGAAGAGTAGTTTTCCCTTTAAGCGGAATATCCAGTCAGATGAATGATTAGTAAAGATGAATCAAACAGTTTAAAATTTCTATGGAAGTGTAGGTATACTATGATTAAGATTATGACGTTGATGAGGCACAATTACCAGCTAAGAAAGAGATTGATTATAATAAGGAAGATTTGATGAGAATAGTCATTCCTAATAGACGTTAATAATTTAATTATGAGTGCCAGTGGGGAAGGAGGTTACTTCCCAGAAAGTGTTTAAATATAAGATTGTAAGATGTCCTGTAAAGGATATGATATACTCACGGATTGGCATAGAGTTATAAAAAGCTTCTAATGAGGCAATGACTGTTTGGAATAGTCGTAAGAAATGGTGAGTGTAATAAGTTACAAGAAATAGTAAATCGAGGCTTGATGCCTAGAGCCTATAAGAGATTAGACGATTCCCTTAAGTTTGGTGATGATAAGTCTTAATATAGAATGATTAAAATCGAGAAGAACCAGAGGGTAAAAAAATGGAAAGGCCGCATAAGTAAGAAGAGTAAAGAATTTTACGACTCCTTAAGAAGAAAAAGGGGATAGTTTGAAGGAAGTAAGAAATGATTAAATGATATCAACTCAAGTATGGGTGCTAATGTGACGAGAGTAAATGAATTTAAGAGATGGATAGAGGGTTGAAACAAAATTTCGATTTAGAGAAAGAAAAACGACAAGAACACTACATTATGAGAAGATAAGATTGAAGAGAGGGTCACGAACATAGAAAGAAGACGAACTGTTGATTGCATTAGCAATCAATATGTTATTCATTGACAGAATGATCTATAATTCTGTAAATATCGTAATATGGATGTTGCAGATTAAATCCGATGTACTCACAGAGAGCCTTCACAGTAAAAGCGAGATAGTTTACCGAGAACTCTAAGGTATGAATCGAACGAAAGTGAAGGATAATAAGTAGTGATACATATTATGCAAATGTAAAGAACGACTCCATGGTAAGAGATAGAACCCTACGATGGGTTATGAATAATAAGAGTTTATAATGTAAAGAATGGATGAAGTGCGCTAAGTAAGGGTTTAGACCCTAATGAACCTTAAGATAAAACAGAAGGAAAATTAGGAAAGAAGTCTAAGGAGACTTGGAATGAATTTGATTAATGTTGTAAACACTTCATTCTCTAGTTCTTAACTTTTTTTCCCCTTAATTGAGCCTTCCTCTAAATCTTATAATACATATCGTAATTTTATTATCGAATAAGGGATCCGATTACTAAAATAAAGCTTGAGCCACTAGTAGCTGAATTTTTTATTTGAAAATACATTATTTTCTCATGTAATTTGCGCTTCTTATCTCGAAGACTATGTATTAACTTTATTAAAGAGCCGACAAAAATAAAAACAAATTGCTTTTGTTGGCAACAGTCAAAGAGTGGGTCTCATGATAATAAGCAACTCCAAAAGTCATACAAATGCGTGCTGTTTTTACCTTTTTTTACCGTTCAATTCTAATCTTTATTTAATTAGGCGAAATTATATATTGGTCCATTTCCATATCCATAATACTTACAAACTTAAAAAGGCTAAGTTCTACTTGTGCAATTTGATATTTTAAGTTTTGTGTGTGTGTGTTTGGACTTAATTTGGCATATCTATGAGAAAAGAAAATCGAATTTCATGTTATTAATTGTTTGTTCCATGGTTATGGGACAGTTTAATCTGGTTGCATATGATTCGATATGATGAATAATTGAATATAATAAAGTATTTAATTTTTGGACCACAAACTGTTAAGATATCAAACCTAACCGATTAAACCGACTACAATGGGAACTCAAAGAAAAAATTAACCCCAATCCGCCCTCAAATTACACATTGGTCTCCAATACCAAATTAATTGCGCCATTTATCACGGCGCCATTGTCAGTATAAAAACAACCCCACAACACACTCTTCGATCTCACCACTCTCCTCTCCTCCTCCACAAATGGCGACCAAATTTCTGCCATTGATCCTTTTCCTTTCCTCACTTTCTCTACTCACGATCGCTTCTTCTTCCTCATCCCAAAGAAACCCTGAATCAGTCGTGGAAGAAGTCAACCGGAGCATCAATGGCTCCCGGAGAAACTTGGGTTACCTCTCCTGCGGCACCGGCAACCCAATTGACGACTGCTGGAGGTGTGACCCGAACTGGGCCACCAATCGTCAAAGGCTAGCTGACTGCGCAATTGGGTTTGGAAAGGACGCCATCGGCGGGAAAAACGGACGGATATACGTCGTCACCGATCCCCGGAATGATAATCCGGTGAACCCGGTTCCGGGAACACTCAGATATGGCGTGATTCAAGATGAACCGTTGTGGATCATCTTTCAACGTGAAATGGTGATCCAATTACGTCAAGAGCTTGTGATGAACTCGTTCAAAACCATTGACGGAAGGGGTACCAATGTTCATATTGGTAATGGTCCATGCATCACCATACATGATGCTACTAACATCATCATCCATGGGATCCATATACATGACTGTGAGCAGGCCGGAAATGGCAACATCAGAAACTCACCACATCATTCCGGATGGTGGACTCAATCCGATGGTGATGGGATTACCATAGAGTCAAGCAAACATATATGGATAGATCACTGTTCATTGTCTAATTGTCATGATGGACTCATTGATGTCATCCATGGATCCACAGCCATCACCATATCCAACAATTACATGACTCATCATGATAAAGTCATGTTATTGGGACACAGTGATAGTTATACACAGGATAAACAGATGCAAGTTACCATTGCTTTTAATCATTTTGGTGAAGGTCTTGTTCAGAGAATGCCTAGGTACAACCATATAGTCAGTACAAGCACGTGATACATGCATGCATGATTTTATATAAAGTTTTTGACTTTTTGAATAACGTCACTCAAATATTCTTGTTGCAGATGTAGACATGGGTATTTCCATGTAGTGAATAATGACTACACCCATTGGGAAATGTATGCAATCGGAGGCAGTGCTTCCCCTACCATCTACAGCCAAGGCAATAGATTTACTGCACCCGATATCAGATTTAGAAAACAAGTATGGATACCGATACTTATAGAGTTATAGTGATATTGATATATACTCATATATTGATTGATACTAATGATGGATTAATGCAAATATCAGGTGACAAAGCATGAGAATGCAAAGGAAAGCGAATGGAAGAATTGGAATTGGAGATCGGAAGGGGATTTGATGTTGAATGGGGCATATTTCTTGGAGTCGGGAAAAGGTGCTGCGTCATCATATGCAAGAGCTTCAAGCTTAAGTGGTAGACCTTCTTCACTTGTGGGGGCGATGACTAGGACTGCCGGAGCACTTGCTTGTCGGAAAGGCTCTCAATGCTGATTGCTGATCATGGATGGATTGTAGCTTTACATATGAAGAAGGCGATTTGACTTTCTTTGATGTTCTACGTTTTTCTTACTTATCTTGACTAAAAAGTCAACCTTTGTGCTTGGTTTGCATCAAGAGATGTTTTTATTTCATATGAGTTGAGAAATGGAGTGCGAAAGAGTTGAGCAAGTGAATGTCTATCGTTTAGTTCTTTAGTTTCTTCAAGTATTTTGTACCGTTGGTTTTTTTCTTTCTTTTGTTGAAAATATGTAAGCTATAGTAAGATTTAAGCTTATGATTTTTATAAAATAAAATTACATAAGGAAACTTAGTCAAACAACATTATATCGAATGTCTTGTCTTAGATTTTTTAAATCATACATAAATATAAATATATAAAAATCTTAGCCAATTCAAAGGTTCCTGTACTCAGTTTTGGAAGTGATTATAAAATAATAATAAAATAATCACTTATAATCACTTATAATATAATGTGATTAATCATGGAATTAGCTAAAAATAGATTCACATATATACATTGTAAAATGTCTAAATTTAAGATATGATAATGTATTATATCAATTTCTTTTCAAAAAATACTTATTAAGAAATCTGTTAATAAGTATCAGGTGGTGTTTTCTCTCTTTGAAGTCGAAGGTTGAAATCTCTTTGTAGATATAAATGGAATTAGGTGTTAATTTAAAAATAGATTATAATTGTCAGTTAAAAAAATAATAAATAACCTATTAACAAATCTTTGATGAAAAGTTTTGTTACAAATAGTACTAATTTGATATCTAAAACTGATTATTTAATCTTAAAGTTCAAAGAATATAAAATTGATTAATGCAACTTTAAAACATAATAATTAAATACCCAAAGATCCATAAACAAGCAACTCATGCATAAAAGTATGATCCAAATGTTACACTTTACACAGTTCTAGCCACACTACTGTGATGATTGATCAACTTGCAAATAAAGGTGAAAACAGTTTTGAGAAGAAATATTTTTGATATTTAATTTTATAGCTAAAGACTTCGTTGTTTACTTTCTAATTTTGTAATAGGAGGAAAGGAATTAATGAAGGAGTGGGCTTATCGGGCCGTCAATCATGGGGTGGGTCCATGAGGCCACGAGATTTCGACATTAATAATTAAGGCGCGTGGAATTGGATTGGAAATTGAAAGTACACTCCATTCATATGATATTCTCTTTGCTTTATTCTACTGGATATAAATAATTGCTTTTCATATCTACATCTTCCGTTTCCCTCGTGAAAAATAAATATTATTAGGGAAATTAAATATCTTTCTATATTTTATTTTTATAAATCTTTCGATCAATTTAAATAATGGTATGTATCATGTTACTATACTAAAATATCATTATATTTCATCATTTAATTTAATAAAAAGATTTGTAGGAGGATATTTAATTTCTTATATTTTAATATTTGTTTAGTAAAATAGTTTATTTAATCATTAAAAATTTCACCGCTTATTAAAAAACACAATCAAATTACCAAATTTGATTATCAAGATTAAAAAATCAAGGGAATTATTATATTTTTTTTATTATTTCTCAAAAGCCATACTTAGTTTAGAATAATAACTATACATATATAGATTTATGTTCTAAACTAACCAATCAAAATGGGTTTCCTTTTCAATGTTCCAAATATATAAAATAAAATCCAACAACTTTTTTTAAGATAAAACTTTAAAAATGATTTCTGTGGTTTTTGAAAATATCAAGTTTAGTACCTAAGTTTAAAAAACCTCACAAATGGTCCTTGTGGTTTCAAAACTTTTAACATTTGGTCATTCCGACTCACTCCGTTAGCATTTCACCGTTAAGTAAGGGGCATTTTTATCATTTCATTACCCAGAGACCATTTATGAAGTTTTCTATTACTTTTAACAAAAAATAAATAAATAAATAAAACTTAATATGCAAGCGGTCCCACCTCTCTCTAAATAAAACTTAATATGCAAGCGGTCCCACCTCCCTCCCTCTCTCTCTCTCTCTCTCTCTCTCTCTCTCTCTCTCTCTCTCTCTCTCTCAACCAAAAAACCATCTTCTAACCTTCTACTTTCCTCGATCTCCCTTTTCCCACAAGCCTATTGATGAAACTTCCTCACAAAAACCAGAAAATTTGATCTTCATGACCAAAAATCTCTGCACAGAAGCCTCGATCTTTGAACTGGGAGTTTAGGTAGCGAAACTGGCAGCAACACGAGCGGGGATGACCCCATTATTGCCTTCCCATCATCGACTTTATTAGTCAAAAGGAGTCGGAGAGATTAGGTGGTGTCCAAGATGGTGCTTTCACAAAGATTTCCACCTCCATTGACGACGATGAGTGAGTCTAAATCGAATTGCTTAACTACTCAATTAAACAGTTCACTCAGTTCCAGGGTTTCTTTATTGGTAAATTGCTTCAATCGAATTGGTCAATTACTGTGTATTGATCAATTAGACGATTACAGTTGACTTCTGTTGAAATTCTTAACATATCCAGAGATAATCTCTAGATTATTACTTGATTAGTTACCATTTTTTGTGGCTACTTCTCTTTAGAGCTCAATTTGCATCAAAATTAGTTTCTGTGTTGATTTATCTTCATTATCTGTGTTTCTAGGGTTTATAGGTTACAAATCGGAAGCAATGGATGACGGAGAACTCGATTTCTCCAACCACGAGATGTTTGTGGGTGATACCCCGAGCAGTGGTTCCATGAACAGCTTCTTCGATGAAATCTTCAACGACACACACGCGTGTACTCATAAGCACACATGTAACCCTCCTGGACCTGATTCATCACACACGCACACATGTTACAATGTGCACACCAAATCCTACCTACTACGAGCGATGACGACATAACCCCTACATAAGACAACGTTGAATCCTCCGACAAAAAAGGTAAGAATCGTCCATCAGGAAACCGGGAAGCTGTGAGAAAGTATCGTGAAAAGAAGAAGGCGCGTGCTGCTTCATTAGAAGACGAAGTAGTTAGATTGACAGCATTGAATCAACAATTGATGAGAAGAGTTCAGAGTCAAGTAAGATTAGAAGCAGAAGTAGCGAGGCAAAAGTGTTTGCTTGTGGACATTAGAGGGAGAATCGATGGAGAAATCGGATCTTTTCCTTATCAAAAACTCCACCATCCGGTGGGTAAACAGAATTGGTAATGGCAAGATGGAGGCATAAACCTCAAGAGAAAGAGGACTTGCATATTAAATTTTATTTATTTATTATTTATTTTAAAAAAGAGGAATATAAAACCTCATAAATGGTCCCTGAGAAGTGAAATGACAAAAATATCCCTGACGTAACGGCTAAATGGTAACGGAGTTAGCCGGAATGACCAAATGTTAAAAGTTTTGAAACCACAGGGACGATCCGTGAGGTTTTTTGAACTTAGAGACTAAACTTGATATTTTCGAAAACTACAGGGACCACTTTTGAAGTTTTATCTTTTTTTAATTATCCAATAAATTTCAACGACAAAACTGCAAAAATGGTCCCTGTGGTTTCTTATTTTATGTGGTTACGGTCCAAACGTTTGAAAAGGTGCAAATATGGTCCTTTTCAATAAGTTTTGTTGTGGTTTTGGTCCCTCGTCCGTTAGTTGGTTGTTAACTTCCTTAAAATGACAATTTTACCCTCAGGGACCATTTTCGCAGTTTTATCTTTTACCATACTATAAGGACCATTTTTGCATACATTCTTTTTTATTTTATTGAAGTATTATATATTAATAGATATTATTTTTAATATATAATATTATATATTAATAAATATTCTTTTATTAGATTATTAATTTATTTTAGTTGATTTCATTTATTTTTTTGTTGGAATAATTATTTTTTTATTGAATTATTATATATCAATACATATAGTTTTTAATAAATAATATTTATATCATAATAAATATTATATTATTGGATTATTAATTTTTTTAATTAATTTTTGTAATTCCTTTTTTTTAATTATTTTTTATTGGATTATTACTTTTAATTTATTATTTTATTCATATACTAAATATTGTTTTATTTGGATTATTAATTTATATTAGTTAATTCTATTTTTAATTTTTTTTTCTGTCGAAGTAATTCTTTTTTATTGAATTACTAGGTTAAAACTCGTGGAACCCACGGGTGCTGTTTTTGAATTGAATTTAAAAATTAATTATTTAATAAAATATTATATCAATAATTCTGATAACTTATAAATTGTAATATTGAATATTTAAATAATTTTTTTTATTGGTAATTATTTAATTACTAACTAAATGGGAAGTATTTAATTAGGAATGAAGATTTTTTAAAACTATTTTTTTTTTATTCATCATTCTAATTGGACATATGCAGATGATACAATACCAATGTGTGTAATGAAATTAACATAAAATACAACAATACGTAATTATAAAAAAATACAGTAATATGATGGATTAAGTGTGATTTCCTAAAATTGAATAAAACGACGTTACAAAAAAGTTGGCTACAAATTTCGAAAAACTTCCTTATAAACAACATTGGAAGTTTTATTTGTGAGTTTGCCATCTTTATCTAAAATTAATAATTTTAATCCCTCTCTACTCTGAACTCTAGATAAGGCAACATACAATTGTCCATGTGAAAAAACTGGATCTTTCAGAAACAGACCAACCTTTGACAACGATTGTTCTTGACTTTTGTTAATAGTCATTGCAAAACATACAGCCAAAGGAAACTGTCTTCTTGTGAATTTGAAGGGAATCTTTTTTTCTGATGGAGTTAAAGACATTCTTGGAATAAAAGTCCGATTTCCAATATTAGTTCCAGTTATTATACGTGCCTCAATAACACGTTTGCCCAATGATAACACCTGTAGTCTTGTGCCATTACATAAGCCGTTTTTCTGATCAATATTTCTCAGTAACATTACTGGAACACCAATTTTTAAAACTAATTTATGATTTGGTAAACCGGATACTTTGAGTCCATTTAATACATCAGGAGAGTATAGATTTGCATCAAATTGATCATGGAGAAATTCGGATTCACATATGCAGTCTGAACTTAAATATTCAACTTGATCTCCTGGAAACTTCTTAAGTAAACGGTCGTTTATTTCCTGGACAACTTCATTTTTTGGAGCAAGTATCGCTCTTTCTTGGAAATAATTTATATCGCTATAGTACTCTAAAATTGAAGGATATACAAACTCAATTAAGGAACCTATAGGATCATGTGAATCATTAATGAGAATATCATCCGGAATATCGATAATCGTTTCACCGTCGTTCGGACCACCAAGTTTTCCTTCTCCTATATCCAACAACCAATTTGCAAAATCTCTTATTTTTCCTATATCTGATTGATCCCTTCCAACAGTTAGCCTCATGTTTTTTGTTAATCTATGGACTTTGCAATGTTCCCATAAATATGAAGAACTCAAAGAAGCATTTACAATGTTCTGTCTACTGCCACCCGGCACAACAGGTAGAATTTGTCTAAAATCTCCTCCAAAGACAATAACTTTCCCTCCAAATGGAATATTTGAGATGGTTGAATTTACGCACCTTAATAAATCCTTCAAAGTTCGATCTAAAGCTTCAAATGCATGCTTATGGACCATAGGTGCTTCATCCCAAATTATCAAAGAGGTTTTCCTTATTAAGCTTGCCAACTCACCGTCTGGATTTATGTTACAAAAAGAATCCTCTGTAAGCTCAAATGGAATTATAAATCGAGAGTGTGCTGTTCTACCACCGGGCAATAATAAGGAAGCAATACCACTTGAAGCAACATTTAATACAATATTTCCTTCAGATCTAATTGCTGCAGATATTGTTTTCCATAAAAAAGTTTTACCCGTTCCACCATACCCGTAAACAAAGAAGACACCTCCTTTATTTTGTTGAATAGCACTCTTGATGTTTAGGAAAATGTTTTGTTGCTCATTTGTTAATGCAAGAAACATACGATCATAGTCATTCTTTATCACGGGAATGTCGTAATCTAGTTCCTCGGTGATAAGTCGATTGTTTGAAGAAGAAACGGATTCAACATCTGGGTATGGCATGTTTTTGAAGTTTTTGAGAGTAGAGTTGTTTCGAAGTAAAATTTGTTGTATTTCGAACAAAGTTAAGTTCTTAAGTTCATCTACTCCGAGAGACAATTCTGCACGAAAATATTAAATAATTAATAAAATACGTGGTTGATATTTAATAATTTCATTACTAATTATTTAATGGGTGTTGAAAAATAAAAATAAATTAATTTTAAAAAATAAGAAAAAATGTAATACCTGCTGACTTAAATCTTCGTCGTTGGCTATATAGAATTCCATCTGCCAAATTTTCCCAAACGATCTCTGGTTTAGACATACTATTACACATCAACAATGTAGCAAATAAAAAGCGTAGATAAAAACCAGATCCAGAATGACTTGCTTCTTTAATTGCATCAATGTATTCCTTGTCATCATCTAATAGCCCGAGTGCATAACAGGCATCTCTAAAAGAAGAATGTGTTTCTCCATTTACCGTGCGAATTTCATCAAATGATGTTGGTCCTTTTACTTTATTTAAAAGAATCCTTAAGAAATATGCTTCACCTAGTTTAGGTGAAACTGAATGAATTCTACCGATGGCTTTTCCTACTTTCCTTCGCTTCCAAAACCGACCATTTAATATCCAAACAAACTTTGTAGGGAATTCAACATATGTGAGTTTTCGTGCTTCACTGTCGATTGCATTACACTCCATCCAAGCTGTGAACTTTGAAGCGGCAACAGAAGGTTTGTCAAGAACATCATCAATATCATCATCTTCGCCATATACAATCTGTTGTTGATTAGGAAGATGAAAAGGTAGTCTAACAACAGAAGGATATCTGCAATGAACATCATATCTAAAAATTCGCCATGATGCTTCACATGCTGATAAATATCTACAATCGTAATATTCAGCTATTTCATCGACCGCATCATTATTTTCACATTCATTGTTGGTTGGTACAACAGCAACTGGAGCTCTATCAGGACCCTTATTTATGTATTTAAACAAATACTTTATAGAAGATCCCTGATTGCACCATTCAATATTAATATGTGCCTGATATCTTTTCAATAGATATTTGTTGTATGGAACAACATTTCTATTATCCAACCTTACACCTGATTTTTCTACAAAATGACCATCGTTTCTTCGCCTATATAACGGAAAACCATTCTGATCAACAGACGAATGATTAATGAATTGTTTTGGAAAGTTTTTAGAGCACTTTTTATCCACCATGCATGGACAATTCATATTTTCAGCTCCACATGGACCATGAATCATAAACTCATTTACAAGTGAATACAATTCAGGATCTTCAATTCTGTCTGCTATCTCTGCTGAAATTATTGGATCAATAAGTTCAACAGTTGGTAGCTTGTTGTCAGAATGCATGAATAGACATATATGACTATGCGGCAAACCTCTTTTTTGAAATTCAATGGTATAAACATCTGTAAAAGAATTTGACAAAAAATAAAAGAAATGTGATTAGATATCAAAACATATTTAAAATATAATAATAAGATCAATGTTTTATAAAAAAAATAAAAATATAGTTTTAATTACATGCTTGAACTTTGCCGAAAATTTGATTCTCCCTTAAGTCTTTAATGAATGCATCAAGTTTGATCTTAAACAACCTACATAGTATATCAGGTCTGTCTTCTGGTTGAAGTGAAGTATCCTTAAGAAACCTTTTAATCTCAGGCCATTTGGGATTACACGTAAAGGTTATGAAGAAATCAGGATATCCAAACCATTTACATAGTGACATGGCATCCAAATAGTTTTGCAGCATATAGCGTACACCTCCGGTAAAGGATGAAGGTAATATGACACGTTGGCCGACATTCGAGATATCAGTCATTCCTTGAGCTTTTTGGTTACGTAAATTTTCATAAGAATCACATCTAAGAACATGTTGTTGCCTACGTATGTAGTACATTCTCGTTTCCATCATAGTATAGGCATCTACCAGAAATTGTTGAAACAACCTTCTTGAATTAAGTATGAGAGAGAACGAATGATCTCTGTCTTGAATCCTATAAGCGAAATATTCTCTCATTGTACATTTCGCACGCTTGCTAAATGACACACCTCTATGAAGAATGTCAACACTATAACCATCATCCCCATATG